TTTCAGTTTTTCTGTTGATTTTTAATTGTCGCCTTGTTGTCTCCTGTAATTTATTGGTTTACTTTTAATTACTCGTTGATTGTTTTATGTATTTGTTTATTATTCTTGTTGTTCTCTGGGTTTCGATGTTGGATTGTCCTTTTCACTTGGTTGTAACGGGCTAGTGTATTACGAGTTCATATCCCTTTAATTATACAAATATGTGACTAGCCATGGGATTTCTAGGCTTATGGAGGTACCTATGCTAAAACGGTTTTATTGCATATTTATCAAGTACAGAATAAAAGAAAACATCCTGTCAAGTTATTCTGACAGTATCGTTGAAATTCAGAATTTATGGGTCATTTTGTATTTTGCTATTTATGGAATTTTATGGCCAACGTCAAGATTTTTCGGATATGTTCATTCATGAAATGTCCATTAGCTTTTGATGAATTACTTTAAATTTACAATATTTCAAAGGAGTATAGTAATTATGGTCTACAAATGACAGTATACATTTGATTACCATCAACTTTGTAGTATCTATTAGGCATTACACATATCTTCATTCTCTTTCGTTAAATGTAATGTTCTAATTAGCAGATTACTTCTGGTGTTCTGTCTCGTTGATGTATACCTCACGTTATATTTTATTCATACTCGTATTACATTTTAAAAAAGGTTGAAGCGGAAGGTTTAACTGACCTTTCTGCAAATGTAATCTTAAACGCGTCAGAAAGGTTATAATGTTATTTCAATAAAATACAAAAAATATAGATCTTTAAACAAATAGAATTGAGCAACAGCTACAGATCATCTCATAACATGCAAAAGTTATACATATAAAAATAAGATGATTGCCAATGGGAAAACTCTCCACCAGAGACCAAATGATGTAGAAGTTAACAACTATGGGTCACAGTATGGCTTTTAATAATGATCAAAACCCAAACCGCATAGTAAAGTATAAAAGGCCTCCAAATGCAAAACAATTTTTTTTAATTTTGGTAGTTATGTCCATTGCCATTTCTTTCATTATTATCAATATGAAAAACCCATATATCATTGTTATTATGACTGTGAACCCATAGCTTATTGACATATCATACATGATCAATCTATAAAATCTGTGGATGTTTTAATTAAAAGTAGCTGAATTTATTAGAGTAATGTGTCCGTTTAATCGCCATGTGAGCTTTTACATTCGCTGTACTATACTTTGATATAGAAACCATACCCCAGTACAGCTTACAGAGCATAATAAGTTTAGTAGTGCATGTTATTATGTGATTTTGTTTTGATGGTGATGGACAAACACGCTTTGAAAGAGAAGAAAAAAAACTACATACATTGAATCGGGTACATAGTGTTTCAAATGAAGAGAAGCAAAACAAAAACGTATAACTACTTGCGTTTTTAAGCACATATACTGTAAAATCGTCTTTCGCAATACGAATAGCACCAGTTACAAATATGATTCTAAAAGAAATAAAAAGAAATACCTTAAAAACATCTTTTTTTTCTTCATAAATAAAAGATATTGGGAAGACGTCATTGAGGTAACAACCCCAAAACAAAAAAATCCATGACATGCAAATGTCAACATATAGTACTCAACAAAAGACAGGTGTCCACACACTATGTCAAGCTTTTAATCATGCAGAGACCGTTTAAGTTAACATTTTTAAATTGGGAGATCAAAAATATTTCATATCCGCTATTTATCTATTTTTACATACATTAAAAGACAACTTATTGAGACTTTTTTGGCCTCTATTTTGGTTATAATATCCTTTTTTTTCTTGGACTGGGTGTATTTAATGTCCATGTTTTTATAATATTCTTTGCCATAACCAATTAGAGAAAAAAAACAACGTTTATGTTAAATTTTTTTCGGTGTTCCTAATAAACTCCAAAATAAAAATTTACAGAACGTATTAAGGATGATTGCTGCTCAAACTCAAAATAAATAGGATCATTCTTTTTCAGGTTTTTTACATTCAGTATAGATAGATGTTCAAAAAAATGTTAAAAAAAAATATGGGTTCATGCGCTTTTTTTTTTCGGTATACTCATTTTAAATATACCCATATATGGCATAGTTGTGAAAAGCTAGAGAAACAGGTTTTGTATAAAAAAAGATGCACAATACATTTACAGTGTACAAATATTTTTATTGGTGGCAAAACAAGTAGAATACATATCAGTCTTACATTTTTAAATATTTTTTTCTGTAAAATCAATCAACAAATTGTGTTATTTTAGCAGTTTAGTTAAAATTTGAAAAAGTACGGGAATACACATGATTTCTTGTTATTTTTTAAAAATAAACATCTTTGTAATAAATACATCCCCACAATATCTTCCTCATACATTTGTCCTTAATTTCCAAGAAAAAAAAATATATCATCATGCGCTTTATTTTTAGCTAGACGTTGAAAACAAAAAAAAGTACGGGAAAATGCCTGATGTTTTCTATTTTCTTAAAAATAACATTTATTTTATAAATACAATTTCACAAAATTTTCAAAAAATCTTACTCATACATATGTCCTTAATTTCCAAGGAAAAAAAATATACCATCATGCGCTTTATTTTCAAATAGACACTGAAAACAAAAAAAAAGTATGGAAAAATGCCTGATTTTTCTCTATTTTCTTAAAATAAACTTTTTTATAAATACAATTTCACAAAATTTTCAAAAAATATTGCTCATACATATGTCCTTAATATCCAAGGATAAAAAATATATCATATGCTTTATTTTCCAATGGATGCAAAAAACAAAAAAGTACAGAAATGCTTGATTTTTCTCTATTTTCTTAAAATATACCTTTTGATTTTATTACAATTTCAAAAAATTTTCACAAAATGTTTCTTATGCATTTGTCCTAAAATTGGAATAAGAAGAATAGAGCTATTTTTTTTAAGCTAGAACTAAAATAACACAAAAAGTGAAGAAAAATCTATAATCATTCATGTATTTTCAACTGCATGTTTCTATTTCAAAGTTTGTTACATCAAGCACATGTTATAAATTTATCAGCAAAGGCAACAAAATTTTCTAATTATCTGGAATCACATGCATAAAACAGATTCACAATAGTGCATACAATGACATTTCTCGCCTGTTTAATTAATTCCATACACCTAATAAGAAAAATCTATTGCTTATAGTATCTCAAGATTGGAAATTCATGAAAATTTAACATGATCAATGAATTGTGAAATTGAAGTCAGGGTCAGCTGACAGGTGTCAGACACACATTAATCCTTCAAATGAATGTAGACCATATATCATTGACCTATTATAAAGAATATTGAAAAACAGACCTAATCACAAAATTTTAACCCTTGGACCATGCAAATGAGGTCAGGGTTGGGTGACAGGTGTAAGACTGACAAGTACACATCTGGATGAATCCATAGACTAAGTATTATTGGCCTACCATGTATGGTAACTGAGAAAATAGACTTTATCACAAAAACTTAACTTTGTCACTCCATAAAATTTAGGACATGGTCATACAGATGTCAGACTGACATGTTCACCTCCAAATGATTCCATAGATCAAATAGCATTGACCTACCATGTAAAGTTAATAATAAACAGAACTTATCACAATAACTTAATCTGGTCTCCATCCAAGTCCCAATTTCTATAAGTAAACCATTATAGGTGAAAGTACGGTCTTCAACAAGGAGCCTTGGCTCACACCAAACAGCATGGTCTGATTTAATCAATATACTTGTATGAAAAGCATAAGCACTTTAAAGGTAAATTAATAATAAATTGATCCAATATAATTGCACAAGATTCAATAACAATGCACGGATCACAACATAATAATAAGGGTAAACTGGGTATGGAGAAAATATCAGATATTTCAAGTAAATATTCATGCCATAACGAATAAAAAATTGTAAACTAAAAGTTTTGCTAAAATTGCAAAAACAGGTCGTTCTGTATTGGTATAGTTTTAAGATCTTTCATTTGCATATTTAAGGCGATAAAAAGTTTGGGCTTCAAAAGTACACATAATAATTGACTTTATATAGAAAATTTGTCCATATAATGTTCCACAAATAATACATGATTTCAAGTAAAATCATTTCTTATCACTGCGGAAAATTTCATTCTGATTGATATAGTGGTATTGTAATAAAGTGATTTTATTGAACAGTGGTATAGCAAACATTGAATTCCCTTACAAAATGTTATCATACAGTATAAACATGTGAAAAAATATTACACAAAAAAGTTCCTCTTTACATTTTTTCAAAAAAATCTGATACACTTGAAATAATCTTAGCCGATTTTGTAACTCTTACAGATAATCCACACTTTTCTGTGAAAATATATTTGATTCCAGATCTACCATTTCTTGTAAAAGCTAACTTTAAATGATAAAAATTCAGCCCACTCTTAGCTATGACAGTGGCTGTTCTCAAGGTAATGACTTTAGAATTAATAAGTAATTTCAATGATGGAAGATTTTGATGTAGTTTTTTCAAACAAGAATATTGATACAAAATACAATTTTTTTAATAAAAAGCAGTTTTCATTTGACATGTATTATTAATTTTTTCATTGACAAGCTTTTGCAATGCAGTAACATCTTCCTCAGCATTGTGAGCACCATATGTAAAATCAAGAAGTGTTTGACATAATTTAGACTGAGAATATGAATTCAGACCTGGATATACATTTTTAAACAATTTCAAAGTATCAACAAAACCTAAAATATTGCTTTCAAATCTAGAAAGCAAATTACAATTATCTAACGCATTGTACAACACAGGACAGTCATAATTAAAAATCTTGTGTCCAAATATAACATTTTTTTCAGATTTTTCTAAAAACTGGATAAATTTAATAAGACCTGCTTTTATATTTACTGCTGGTACAATATTATTATGAAAAAATAAAGAACCGTTTTGAAATGTTAATCCTGTTATTTCTGCTGCCTTTGGTGATATTTCACATGATGGTAACACATATGTAGAACACATTTCCTCTCCTCTCAACGCTGATATCTGTGTAATGTGTGATGTTCGACCTGTAAAAAATTAAAGAATAAATTTTAACAATTAAGATGATTGATTTCCTGTCTTTAAATAAGTGAAAAACAATTAAATCAGTGAGTTCAATGCTTATATCTGATAACCCTGCTCCCAACCTTTAATATTGTAGAACATGACCTGGCACTGTATATAAAAAACTCTGTGGTTAACAGGAAGTACATGTCAAACGAACCTGAAATCGTATTTATATGTTTCATAATGAGTGAGCTGAATATTAACTTAATTTCAAAATAATAACAAAAGAACCTAAGGTAAATTTTTATTACTTTCAAATTAAATAAAGAGCAAATATTTGTTACCGTAGCAACTGTCTTGTATAATAAAACATATATCTGTATTTTACAAAGAGTAAAATATAATTTCTTTGTTTTTTTAGTCCTAACTTCACATTTTTGTAGTTTTCCAGATGGTAAATCTTAAAAAGTATATGATGCAAAAAAAGCAAACTCGCAACAAATGATGGATACAATGTGATGGCTAAAAACTTACTGAGACCTGTAGCTTCAATATCAAAATATATTTGAGTATATTCTGTTGCATCTTCCAAGCACATGGCATTATTTTCAGGTTTTGATGATGAAGGTGGTATTTCATTTATATCGTCTTCCTTCAAATCACAAAGGGCTGCATCTGATTTATAAGTTGTACCTTCTCTTAACTCACATGCAGATGTTTTCTGATTCCTGAAATTCAAAGAAAAACTTATGGTTAATTTCAAAATATGAATTTACGTTGCTTGATGCTCTTCTGGTTTATGTACTGAATGATTGTGTCATACGGGCTACTTGAGCTTGTTGTTAGATGTTGGATTACATTATATTGAAGTCAGTGTTCTCCTTTTTTCACTAAGGTAAGATGGGTGTTTTTGAAAAAAAACTCTTGCAATTTGAAGACCTAGTGTGACTCATCATTAAACATGGTAGCTAAACGTCTTTGATATATTTTCATAGTAGTTTGTTACACTGCTATTCGACTTTTCTTCGATAAGAGAGTTATTAATAAATAAGTTGTAAGACAGGTCACAATTTTATTAATTCCTTTTAAAATTTGTTGAGCCTGAAACGCAAGTCCATATCAACATGAATTTTGATGTATATGGACAATTGGTGGAGCTCAACATTCTAAACCATTTTGCTCAGTCAGATTTTCTCTATTCATAATGGTTTTCAAAAAAATAGACAAAACTTGCACTTTTATCGTATGTTCTATTTTTAGCCCTGGGGGCAGTGTTTGTTAGCAGGCAGTTAGTAAGCGGGGTCAACCGACACACTTTTTTAAAACAAAATATCCAATAATGATTGTGGCTAAGTTTGGCCAGTAGTTTCAGGCAAGAAGATTTTTGTAAAAGTTAATGGACACATAGTGATGAGAAAAACTCACTTAGCTCAATGGGCCAGGTGAGCTGAAAAAAAACAACAATAGGCAGTCTGCTGAAGAAAGTTAAGGCTTAATTATGAACTACTAAAGAAGATTACAGGAATCAATGTTATTTACCTGCTTGTTTTTAAAGTAATTCTGCGTAGTTTTGCAGCTTTGGTAGTGGCAACAGCTCTCCTCTTTCTAGCCTGAAGATCTCTGAGGGTAGCTAACTTCTGGGTATATATCCCAGGAGATAGACCTGTTGATACATTTACCTGCAATGAAAATGATATTAAAGAAATAAGAACAAAAGTAATTTTGATTCTCAAAACAATGCAGGTTTTACATTTGATTCCAGAAGATGACAAAATTACTAGAAACAAAGTTGCTTCACTAAACATGCACACTTATATACTGTATGTCTCTAAAAAAAGAAATGAGACTGTTAATTATAAAATAGACAGATGGCGATAAATTATGTTTTCTCTATTTTAATTATTTGGCATTATCATAAATTTATGGACATACTGTCATTCAATAGGGCTGTTCAAGAATTAAACACATGGGTGTGTGTGTGGTTGGGAACTTGGGGGTATAAGGGGGCACTTTATTAAGACCCCCACAACCATGACATATTTTTTTAATTTCACATACAATTCTTACATAATTGTTAGGAAAACACAGCATACCAAAACTAATTGTTTTGAGTGCAGCCTTTACCCTCCCCTACAAGTTAAAATTTAGAACAGCCCTATTTTGGATTATTATTATTTAAAAAAATAAATGTGGATAGTGTCCACATGTGGACACAGATGATGCCCCCGCTTGCATAGCATATAGTTATAAAGGGACATAACTGAAGAACGGTAAAAGTGACACTACCCAAATTTGAACTTGATCTGAGTTTTGTGGTAATAAGCATTGTGTGTAAGTCTCAAAACATTAGGTTGCGGCTAACTTAAGTAGAGAACAGAAACTAAAAATTCAGCAATTTTTATGTTTATAAAGGGACATAACTCAAGAATGGTAAAAGTGTTCTCACCAAATTCCGTACTTAATCTGTATTATGTAGTAATAAGCATTTTGTATAAGTTTCATAACATTTGGTTGAGGCAAACTAAAGTTAACAAACGGAAACAAAAAATTTGTACTTAGTTTTGTGGTAATGAATATTGTATATAGGTTTCACAATGTTTGGTTGGGGCAAACTTAAGTTACAGAATAGAAACTAAAAATTTTGCAATCTTTCGATTTATAAAGGGACATAACTCAATAATGGTTAAAGTGACACTACCCAAATTCAACTTGATCTGTGTTTTATCAGTGGAAGTCAAAATTAAACATTGCATTGTATAAAGCATTGAATTTAGTTGATTCAACTATAATCATTGACAAAGGAAGATAACTCCAATTTCAAAAATTACTTGATATTTAGAAGAAAATAAAAATTTTGCAATTTTTCCATTTATAAAGGGGCATTACTCTAGAACCGTTATTGTGAAGCCACAAAAATTCAAATTTGATCTGTGTTTTCTGGTAATAAGCATTGTGTATAAGTTTCATAACATTTGGTTGAGGCAAACTTAAGTAAGAGAACGGAAACTAAAAATTTTGCAATTTTTTTATAAAGGGCATAACTCTAGAACGGTTATAGTGATGCCACCAAAATTCAAACTTGATCTGTGTTTTGTGGTAATTAGCATTGTGTATAAGTTTCCTAACATTTGGTTGAGGCAAACTCAAGTTAGAGAACGGAAACCAATTTTGGGATGTACGTACGTACGTACAGACGGACAAGGGTAAAACTTAATGCTCCCTCCGCTACGGCGGGGGCATAAAAATTAACTAAAATAGGTGAGACGGTATCCAACAGTTCATGCAAAATTAAACTTTCCCTCAAAAAGGGATTATATGTGTATAAAATACAACAACATAAAATTTGGTCTCTAAAATTTGTAACAATGTAATAGTATAACAAATTACTGAAAACATGTAACCAATGAATCATAAAACTGAACAGGCAGGCTGATAACCCATTTGTACATTTAAATTTTTTTTTACTCTCAGAAGAAAACAAAATTCATAAAATACTAGCATGACTAGTTATCTATCCCTTGAAAACTTGTTCTGAGAACTTCTGACAAGTAAATAACAAAGTTTTAAACCCATGAATAAAAAAATATTTATTTGTACAAGTGGGATCTGACTGACAGGCAACACACTTTCTTACATCTACAGTGTATTGATGACCCTTGTTTTTCTGTGCTACGGCAGCAGCAATACGGTAGCCTAAACTTCCAGAACCACCATAAAACCTATTCTTTGGTGCTTTAGAGGCAACACTTTTGTTAAAGCTCTCATTGCTCTGGGTGCTTCCTAGATTAGCAAGATTTTCTGGATTTTTTCTGTATTTCTCTAATAAAGTTGTAAGTGAAGTTTGAAAAGATTTGTCATGTAAAGGTTTCCCATATGGCAATGACCTATATTTCAGACCAGACTCCTCAATAAACCTACACCAACTGATGTTGCAACCGCTGTGGTCTCCGAAGGGATGCTTTGACAGTGCATCTAAATTTTGTTTAATTTCTTCTGGTTTGCCTTTGCCTTTAGCTATTAAGTAGTTGAAGCATTTAATGAGGTAGTTGATAACTTTTTGAGAGCGACAGGAATGTTTTTTTCTTAAATCATATAAACTGGAACTGAAAGGTTTTTTAATGTGGTTGCTGTCTGAGAGTTTCTTTATTCTTGGATCAACTTTAGCCCTAAGTCTTGCAATGGTGGTGGTATCTTCGTCTCCAATTATGGCTGTGATTTTTGCCCCCTTTTCTATAGTGTCTGTAACCATTTCCTCTACCATGTCTGGTTCCATGGCCTTTGCACTCCCAGTAAAGTTTTTTCTGCATGTATGCTTTCTTACTATCTTACCTTCATTTTCAGCTTTCTGGCATATTCTACAGGACTTTGACCTCCACTTGTAACCCAAAATCTTCCCGGTTTTTGAACCTATCATGGAGCAATGTCCTGTTAAATAAAATAAGAATGTCTCTATGAACACAGATGCCTCAGCTGGTGAAACAGAAAAGAAACATAACTTAAGAAGGTGAAAGTGATACCACTGAAATGCAAACTTGTCTGAGATGCCTGTTTTTTTTTTTATTAGTTGTTGTTGGCTTTGAACTAGCTGTCAGTAACTGTGAGTTCTTTCAGATCAGTACTTGGTGTCTTTTTGTTGTTGGGATATACAAGTACCCGGCCACGTCCACTCTATGTTTTTGTTAGATATATTTCTATGTATACAACTGATGAGAATAAGCCTTTTCAACTGATTTTTATAGTTCGTTCTCATGTTGTACTGTTATATGACTGACCCAGGTTAGGTGGAAGGTTGGTAACCGTTAACATGTTTATCCCTGGCCTGCCACATTCTGTATGTACTATGTGCCTGACCCAATTCAGGAGCCTGTAATTCTGTGGTTGTCGTTTGTTAATGTGTTACATATATTTGTTTTCTCATTTAAATTGTTTAACATTTGTCATTTTGGAGCCTTTTATAGCTGACTATGCGGTATGGGCTTTGCTCATTGTTGTAGGCCGTACACAGTACAGGGACCTATAGTTTTTAATTTCTGTGTCATTTGGTCTCTTGTGGATCTCGTTGGCAATCATACTGCATCTTCTTTATTATATTGATCTGTGGTTAGTTGTAATAAACATTGTATTAAAATTTGAAACTAGAGGCTCTCAAGAGCCTGTGTCACTCATCTGACTCTACTTTGGTTTTAGAAATCATGTAAAGATAGATAAAAATCATAACAGATACCCAAATAATGATTGAGGCCAAATTTTGATTAATATTGGTCCCGTTATTCAATAAAATATCCTGGTGGCCATCTTGAACAGTAAATCGGCAAAAAAGTAGCAACACTTGGTCAGCACCTCATAAGGAACATTCATGCCATGTTTGGTTTTATTCCATTCAGTGGTACTCTAAAAGAAGACATTTGTATGTATTTCCCATAAGGTCCTATGTTAAACTAAGCCCCCCCTCCTAGCGGCCATCTTGGATGATGGATCGGCTGCAAAGTAACAAAACATGGTCAACACCTCATAAGGAACATTCATGACATGTTTGGTTCCATTCCATTCAGTGGTTCTCTAAAAGAAGACATTTTGTATGTATTTCCATAGGGTCCTATGTTAAACTTAGTCACCCACTGGCGGCCATCTTGGATGATGGATCGGCTGCAAAGTAACAACACTTGGTCAGCACCTTATAAGAAACATTCATGCCATGTTTGGTTTCATTCCATTCACTGGTTCTCTAAGAGAAGACATTTGTATGTATTTCCCATAGGGTCCTATGTTAAACTAAGTCTCCCGCTGTCGGCCACCCTGGATAATAGACCAACTGCAAAGTTACAACACTTGGTCAGCACCTCATAAGGAACATTCATGCCATGTTTTGTTTCATTCCATTCAGTGGTTCTCTAAAAGAAGACATTTGTATGTATTTCCCATAGGGTCCTATGTTAAACTAAGTCCCCCGCTGGCGACCATCTTGGATGATGGATCGGCTACAAAGGTACAACACTTGGTCAGCACCTCATAAGGAACATTCATGCCATGTTTGGTTTCATTCCATTCAGTGGTTCTCTAAAAGAAGACATTTGTATGTATTTCCCGTAGGGTCCTATGTTAAACTAAGTCCCCCGTTGGCGGCCATCTTGGATGATAGACCGACTGCAAAGAAACAACACTTGGTCAGCATCACATAAGGAACATTCATTCCATGTTTGGTTCCATTCCATTTATTGGTTCTCTTAAAGAAGACAATTTTATGTATTTCCCGTAGGGTCCTATGTTAAACTAAGTCCCCCGCTGGCGGCCATCTTGGATGATGGATCAGCTACAAAGTAACAACACTTGGCCAGCACCTCATAAGGAACAGTCATGCCATGTTTGGTTTCATTCCATTCAGTGGTTCTCTAGAAGAAGTTCAAAATGTAAAAAGTTAACGACGACGGACGACGGACGCCAAGTGACGAGAAAAGTACACTTGGCCCTTTGGGCCAGGTGAGCTAAAAAGTTCAAACTCAATTGTTAACTAAATATGGGACAGACCAACATAAAGGCAGACGGTCATGGGTAACACCTAATGCCACATATGTGTGTCTTATGCTCAAATAGTTTTGCTTTTAGCAATAATATTAGCAGGCAGAAAGAATTGGAAACATTACTTTTTTATCATTACTGATCACATTATACATGTTATACACCTACAACTAGCATAGTTGGAAAGAAATATTCATAACACTATCAAATTTGCAGTAGATTACTACTACATGTAATTATACAATTATAGTATTATACTCTGTCCCACCAGGTCAAATACATACAGAAGTAATACTTATACATTTGTACATGTATATTGTATCCAGGAAAAACTTAAATATCTGTAATTGTTTTGGTTAATATTAAATTACCAGTCAGACTGTTGTATGCTCTACCACTTCCTCTTGTTTGCCAGCCAGCGTCAACTGAGACAGTCAGGTCGTCTGTTCCATCACATCTGAAGTAGAAAATACATGTTTAACACATGTACAAAAGTAAAGAAATCATGAAAGTTGGTACAATTAATAAAGAGTAGGGATACATGATATTTAAGAATAGTCAGCATGTAAACATTCTTAAGTAATTGTAAACCAACATATTTTTGCCAGCTATTTATTTTCTTGGCATTTATAGTGGATAGAAAAATAATGCAAATAAAACATGATCAATCATCACGAATATGTTAAACTTGGGTCTATCCTTATCAAACTATATTAAGTAAATTAGAAAATCATGAAATTAAATAGCCGCTAAGTGGACTACAAGGGGTAAAATGAGAAATAAAGTATCAGGAAAAATAAGTTGGTTTACACTTTGTTACTTAAGTTTGATATTGAAATTGAAATAAATTTAAAAGATTGTATTGATTTTTTAACAGATTTTTTCAGAATAAAAGCTATTGTTTTTGAAGTTTACTATAACCTGGACAAGCACAAATGGAGAGACTGAGATAAAGTCAGTATCAAAAACTAAAGATATCAGTCCTTCGTATAACTCCAAAATTGTACTTGCCTGATTTTTTTAGTGATACAACAAGTACAATGATATGAAGAGTGAATAAAATTTATGTTCGTAAAAAATCATTCTTTTTTAAAACATTAAACTTGTCATTTCTTACTCGTTAGTTAAAGCAATTTCTTTTGTCATCCACTCTTTAATAGACTCCTCTGCAACATTCTCAATCACCCCTCCAATTTCTTTTTGTCGTTCATCCAACATGGAATGGCTGACCGTTGGAATATTGAGCTCTGCTAAAATTCCATTCGCTGCTCCCCAAGTCCTACATGAATCATAGCTAAAAAAAATAACATAAAATAATTAATTGATTATTATTCAATTTGGATGTAATTTCATATTTGATTTGTCCCATAGACGGATCCAGTGGGGGGCCTGGTGGGCCCGGCCCCCCCCCCCCCTTTCGTGGGAAAAATTTGGTTGATTATATAGGGAATCACTGAAGCATTCTTGAGTTATTGTTGGAAAACTGGAAAATCCCCCCTTTTTTAATGAAAAAAAACCCAAAACTCAGAAACGGTAAATCTGAAATTTATAAAAAACGAAAGGGAGCTCACGTCAATAGATTTAAACAATTCACCAAAGTTTCATGCATATTGGTTAAAGCTTTTTTGAGTTAATGTCCGACATGTTGACGACGGACGGACAGACAGACGGACGGTCAACGGTATACCATAATACGTCCCGTAAATGGGCGTATAAAAAGTAAAACTTGTGTTATCTAATAGAACTTGATGTATACTGTTACCATTCTACTTTTGCAATTCTATTGTTTACAATGTATGTATGGTATGTAATAAAGTCTATCAAATTACTATGAATAATATTTTTTCAAATCTACTATCGGACGCTAAAAGGTAACCGCAAGGTCTTCATATCCATTAATAATGACTGCATGACCTCTAAGAACAGCAGAGTAATAACTTCTAGTACCTTTTTCCTTAATATTTACGATTTTATTTCTCGTGCTTCGTTTTTCCTGATTTTTATTTTCCATGCAACGTTTTTGCAATTTTTATTTCATGTGTTTCCCTGTTCAGATCCCCCTTTACCACCCTCATATCAGTAATTCAATGTTTACTTATTTTGATATATATCATGTATATCTGTATATATAATATGATTAATATTGTCTAATTTTTTTCAAATTTTGTACCAAGTGTTAGAGATATTTTGTATGATGATATATAATTTCACTTCTGTACTACAATGTAGTAGTAGTACTCTGAATTACAAATTTATTATCTGCAATATGGATGGTAAATATACCCCAAACCCCCATTTTATTTAATGACACTGATACATACATGTATAAACTGACTTGTAAATATGATATTACCAAGCTATCAAGGTATTTTTTTTTTTGTACACAAATATTGCAGGGGTAAAGGGTGTTATATGAGGGTGGTAAAGGGGGTGCTTGCATGGAAAAAAAACATGAAATAATTTCTGTTATGAACGTTGCTTGAAAAATAAAGATGTGAACATTTTGTGACTGAGTCACTGTCCTCTTGTACATGTATATACATAAACTCTCGGTTTTACTTAATATTCATATACATTTATGATATAAATGGTCCACGGTTTAAACAAGTATATACTGATCTTCTTTAGACTAAACTTTTAAAATGCAAATAAAGGAACAACATCATATATAGGGTTTTACTCTTTATCAAAAAACCAAATTCAATAAAATTTTTTCTTGACGATCCCTGCCTAGTGTTAGAAATTTATTTGAAAAATATATACCAAGCACGCAAATTAAGCATTTGAAAATCATGATGCACATCAAATTAAATTAGCAGAACACGTTGAATGAGGCACCTGTTTCACAGGACTGAACGTGAAATAAAAAACGGCGATCACGTTGCACGAAAATAACCCTTTACCACCCTCTTATATATACCCCTTTGTTTTTGTACATGTTAACTACAACAAAATGTTTACCTGCTGCTAATTTGGAGTTGACATCCCATACTTTTCCATGTCTTTTTCCTGTGGGGATTAGGTTGGTGTTGAGACAGGCTGTGTTGGCACATACTATCTTCAAAATGGCAGCTAGACCGTAAGAGTTTATGGTACTGCAGTTTTGCAAAGAAAGGGGAAGACCACATTTCTTGCAAGCTGCTAAACCATCCGCCAAAACTCCCAATTCTACAACCCTACGACCTGCTCTCCATTCTGAAAAATCTGATGTTACGTTACTACCGTCAATTTCAATTATCTCTTCATTAATACAGTTTAATATATCCGGATAAGTCCGCTTAAAAACAGCAGCGTATTGGTGGTCCTGAACAAATAATGTGTCAAATTTTGATGTCTCCCTGTCCCATCGTCTTCTTTGAGCTTCAGAAACTGCCTCCGATTTTCGTTTCTGTTTTGCAGATTTAAAACCCGGCGTACGCTTAGCCATTACTGATTATAATATGTATATAAGAAGTAAAACGTATAAAGATGTATAAAAGCGATCTAAAAGGTTAAAATTGTGTATAAACAGATTTTCACTGTAAACATCTGCAGCCGACAACCTTTGTTTACAATCAACCGGAAACGGAAATCGTGTATTTTTTATGTAAGCAATTTCTTATCGCGGAAATTCTTATGCTTAAATAATTTCTTTATCGATGAATAACAATGAATACATATTTAATAAAAATCATTGGATATATTTATTTGCTTTTTTATTACGACTGCATCCCATTTACGGTGCGCCAACTTTGCCAAAAACATGACCAGCGAACATTTTGGTGTTCAAAGAGGAAAACTATTTGATTGCATTTAGGATGTTCGCAATATTACATCGATATCCCGCATATTGGGTTAAGTATCCCACAAAATATTACGTGGCTTGTGTTTTCTATTATGATTTCAATTATTAAGGGTTGTTGCATACAAGATAATACTGATCGAATGGTGTTTATTGTAATGTTAACGCCATCATGATTTGTTTGACTTTGGTAGAATATTTGTGTTACAGATGATCACGAATATGTTAAATGTCCTACATTTACAATTCATGCCTCATTTAATTGTTTATGCCCCAACCAAAAATATCTTTTCTCAGATATTTTTATGTCACAATGCGCACGCAGGATGCCACAAAATTGAGCATGAATTGCCAATCCTTTAATATGTTTTGTTCATATCCACAGATTATACCAATCATCTGCTATTGTTTGCAAATGTTAAGAGTTTTAAATTGTAGTAAACATTTAATAAGGTGAAAAATAAAGATTAAATTATGTGCCTTTAAATTTTGTTTGTCGAACTACTGAATAGGAGAGGATGTATATAACATTTTTAAATTTGAACATTATAGATGCATTTACGCATATTTTTTTTTTTATTTATTATACATATATTTTGGTGTTCAAAGAGGAAAACTATTTGATTGCATTTAGGATGTTCGCTTATTTTGGTTTATTATTTATGTCCGATATTCGGAATCTTTAGGTTTTATCTATATGGTGCCATTAAGAATTTGCCCGCTTACCCCTACTTTTATTTTTATAATTCAATTACATTTGTGTAGTTTTAAAAGCCATTTTGTATTTAAATCTTATAAAATCCTTGTTATGTTTTCCTTGTTTTAGAATGAAGAAATTTGCCAATGTTAGATGTATGAAAATTCTAGAGGGAATTATTTCCCGCCAAATTTGTAATGGCTTATATCTCCAAAAACATTGCATTGTTTTCTAATTTTGTAGTTGTGTTCTAAATAAACTATCAATTTATAACAGTCTTTAAAAATGATATAATTTTTACCGTCAGGAATGAAATTTGTGGTTTGAATGAGGAATGCTACTTTGATGATACTTAATTTTCTGGTTTCATAAATTTTCCTATCAACGTAAGAAGTCATTTGTATTTCGTTTAATATGTAAATTCGTTATATTCCTCTACCTACGATATCCATGAAAATTGATATTCTCAAATGATTGATCAATCAATATCGTACACATTATCAGGTATTTTTTCAAACAATTCATGTCTTGTCTGTGCTTTTTTTACTACCATAGTTTATTCAGATCGTACATTACTTTTGGAAAATGTTAAAAATTTTAATTTACAGTAAGATGAGTTTAGAAAATATATATTAAATTATATTAGATCTTATTACCCTTTTATATTTTGTTAATTTCACTTGAAGTAATTCCTCCCTGTGTAATCTTTTACATTACAAATGTCATCAAATGTCAGTCATTTTTCTCGCTTAGATAACACGAAATAATTAATTAGAAACTTATAAATATAGCAGTTTTCTACTAGCGCTAACCAATTTATAAAATATAGTTTTACACTTGATAGAGAATAGTAAATACCATGGTACTAAAGTTTAAGGCCAATGATCACTTCTGTAGTCCTGTGTATTTTCAAAATGCAATAATATCATAGCAGCCAAGATACTGAGTTAAAAATAAAATAACAAAAATACCGAACTCCAATGAAAACTCAAAACGGAAGATCCCTTATCAAATGGAAAAATTAAAAGCTCAAACAGATCAAACGAATGGAAAACAACTGTCATATTCCTGACTTGGTACAGGCATTTCCTTATGAAGAAAATGGTGGATTAACCCTAGTTGTATAGTTAGCTATACATCTCACTTTTATGGCAGTCATATAGACTTCAAAAGAATAAAATATAGAATAAAAAGGGACATATCTTAATTGCATTTTATAGCAAATGAGGATTTTATGGCTAATCGTGTCAAGATTTTTACAGAAACCACATACTTTATTAAAGAGAGTTTCGTTATAACATTCTAAACATATATTAATCACTTGTTTATAATACATTTATATTATATCTTCTCTTTCCATGTTCAGCCCATAAAACTAAATTCTTCTGCATGCAAATGTTAATCCGCATATCAAAATGTTTGAAAGTGTGACACTGACTTACCAACATAATGATGAACGTTGTTTATCTCTGTTTTTAATTGAATCTTCCTTATGTATACAACGGTAAAGGTAAAAGGATACTCGCAATACTTTTTGTGTTGTTTTATCTTATTTGACTACCTTAAGTTTTTTGTAAAGTGACAGTCAATTCAAAATAACATGTTACCACAAAGAAATGACTTACATGTTTATGTTACCATTTACATTCAAGTGAAGGTCAATTTGATACTAAACTTTACTACAAAGGGATGACTTTCATTTTACCAATTACATTCATGTTTATCAATATTACATCGATATCCCGCATATTGGGTTAAGTATCCAACAAAACATTACGTGGCT